ATATGTTGAATTCCACTTCAACTCCAGAATGATTTAACTGTGTCTTTCAATGGATTCTAACTAAAGAACACAAAGCTCCCCTTAAGAATGGCATCAGACATACTGAATTTCAAAATAATCCTTATACACATTTCAAGCACTTTCAAGGTCTACGTATGTAATTGTATGTTGCTAGGATTAAATCATTCTTGATGTTCATTTCATTCTTCTTCAGCATCTCTTTTTCCTCTTAAATTAAAATACATATTTTTTGTTTCCATGACAGATTCTTTATTTGGGCCGGTAAATATAGAGTATACCATCAAGCAATGGAATGAAGTCATTTCAGCCTTTTGTGATTCTCGAAAATATGTGCTACATTGACACCAGAAGAGTCCACAATGCCTCGCGATGTTCCAAAGGAATGAGTTGGAAACTCTAAAAAGCATTCACTGCAAAAATTGACAATATGATTGACAACAACTGTAAAGACAAACGGCCGGAATATTAGGCCCATTAGTTTGCTCTGCAGGTAATAATAGATAAAGCAACGTCAACGTCAAGATCAAAATAGCTCAGTTTGATGCCTAAACACAATACAAAATAGACAGTGTGCAGTAATTCCAGAATGAAGGAATTTGATGAGTTGTCTAAAAAGACACCAGGTAACAGTAGTGTTCCTTCACCCTGGCCATGGAAGGGCACCTTTTTTTTCGACCTTTTGACCTTGCTCACTTGTGTGTAAGGTACCACGTGTAAGGCGTAACACCACCAGTGTGTAAGAGAGTGTGAAGCTTAACACCTGAGACTCACTGCCCATACCTCTGTGAGTTGAAAACAACTGTGACGGGCACACTGACGTCTGCACGCATCTAATTATCTCAATGCAGGGGTGTGAATGTGCACTTCAGGAAGCCGTGTTCCACTCACGGCTCTGAACGTAACCCTTGTGATGCAACTATTTACCATGAGGCAAACGTGAAAGCGCTTCATTTATACGTGAGTTGACTGAAAGACAAGGGCGGCTATAGTTGTTGGTGTGAAGTAGCGACGTAAAAACCAACAGCAATGGGAGCAACTTCGTCGATCATTCATTTGAATTAAAGGACTATTTTGTCGATGGTGACAGCAAAAATAGGATGGCAAAATGCATAGTTTGCAATTGACGGAATGAATACAGAATACCAACATCTAACTTCATTCATCATAACAAAACCTACAGACAGGGTAGCTAACATCACAGCTTAGCTAGCAATACGAACATTGGTTTGGGACAGTAAAAAAAATGTCCGATTGTGAATATTTAAGTAGATCGACGTAACATAACTGGGGGGGGGGGGTGGTCTGCGTACTAAACTGGACTACAGCCTTTCCTTGTGGTGTTAGTAGTTTAGTGAGACTTGTCTAAAAGTGAAAATTATAAGAGTGCTTCAGATCACAGTAGTAGTAATATACATGATGTTTTGTTTGTGTGTGTGTGTGTGTGTGTGTGTGTGTGTGTGCGTGTGTGTGTGTGTGTGTGTGTGTGTGTGTGAGTGTGTGTGTGTGTGTATTAGTCTGTCACCATTAAATATCTCCGCCGCTTAGTTGTCATGTGAACGAAATCTGAATTTGCCATTGACTCAGCAGCACATGAGGTGAGGTTAGCACTGGTTGACTTTAATGGGACAATGTGGCCCTCTTAAAACATGCTAATAACAGTGAGACAAAAATTGAGTCCCGTATTTTCCGCACTATAAGGTGCTTTGGAGTACTGTATAAGGCGCACCTTAATGAGTGGCCGATTTTAAAACTGTTTTCATATTCAAGGCGCACCGCATTATAATGCGCATAGAATAGAAGCTACAATAGTGGCTAAGGTTGCGTTATGCATCTACTAGATGGAGCTATGTTAAAGGATATACAATACAATTCAGCTTTATTTATATAGCACTGTCACAACCGCTGCAGCAGTAACAAAGCGCTTTTCAGAACATTTAAACTACGTCCAATAAATCAGAATACTGATCCATATATATATATGTATAAGGCGCACTGGATTATAAGGCGCACGGACAGCTTTTGAGAAAATGGAATGCTTTTAGGTGCACCTTATAGTGCGAAAAATACAGTATTCTTTATGTAAATAGGCACACTAAGGGCCACATAAAAACAATAAAACAAAAATAATCTTTGATCTTTTTGAGAACTGTTATCCAGTAGGGGGATTTGTAAAAATCGTTTGTTTTCCTGTCTGACGATTCCGCTTAAGTCTCAAATGTGTGATGACGCGACTCGCTAGAAGTGCATTTTGGCTTAGAATTTTTCCAAAATGGCTCTACTGTACAATATAACCCTCTATTGTTTATATCACTATTTTGATGTGTGGGTTATTATGCTACACTATACTAATGTAGCCACTGAGACAACAATTGCCTTTCTAAATGTCATACGTGTGCCTCACTGTCCAGCCATGATCAATCATTCCAACTGTTACCTTAGTCTAACAGTTGGTTTGAGGCCAAATTGATTAGTCAGAACTGGAAAGTGGGTGTGGGGGCGCTGTAGAAAAGTAAATCAGACATCACTTTCTCACTTGAGAGAGTTTAAATGTAGCACTAGTCGGTAGGTTAGCACAGGGGCCCCCAACCTTTTTTGCCCCACGGACCGGTTTATGTCAGACAATATTACTGTATATGCTTTATGTTCAATAAACAAAAACAAACAAACAAACAAACAAACAAATATTTTCAGGGACCGGCATTTAAGGTGTGGCGGAAATAATACAACAAAATAATATGGTATGAGCTGCATGAAAACTGTGGCGTTTTCGAAATATAATAATAAACACAAGGAGCGTCTAATCTGGCCGCAACACTCCGATCGCTATGGCAATGTTTAATGCCTTCAAAATACGATACAACGCAAATTCAAAGTGCATGAAAATGACGACACACCGCAGCACCGAGCTTGATTTTCTGCAACCAGACGGTCCCATCTCGGGGTAATAGGAGACAATGACCCCTCAAGTGTGTGGTTTATGTCCTGTCTACTTCGCAATTTTGTTTTCGTCGCCGTTGCTGCAGAAACCCCCCGCCTCACACAGATGGATGTCGGAAATAGCAACAGTGCTATTGTGGCGATCTCAGAGTATTCAGCCATAACTTTAATCCAGTTGTCTCGAACGTACTTTTAAGGCCGCCGTCATTTGAGATCTCCAGCAGTTTTTTTTTTACTCATTTTGCGAGCTCCTGCGTTTTGTTTTGAAGTAATCGGTCACGTGATGGAGAAGCGTGGCTTGATGTGTGTCAAGCGTGACACAGACGGATGTAATGGAGAATCCGGTAGTTTTTCAAAATAAAACATCTTTCGTATTCTGAAATAAATAAAACGGAATTAAGGCAAGTTCTTTCTGTGCGGCCCGGTACCAAATGCCCGGCGGACCGGTACCGGTCCGCGGACCGGCGGTTGGGGACCCCTGCTATACAGTGTTATAATGTACGAGGTGTGGGACAAAAGTTACTCTTGTCCCACAAAAACTCACTAACTCATTCTAACCTGGAGCACAGATGGAACTGTGGTTATCCTGTGCGGTCCTGCCCCAGGCTCAAACACAGTTGTTAAATGTGCTAATTGCCAGGCTAAATCGTTGTCTGCTAACCCAGGGGTCCGTGGGGCAAAAAAGGTTGGGGACCCCTGCTGTATAGGACACGGATGAAGGTAATGGTACTGCAGGAACGCTACTACATGACCAACAAACACTCATTGATGGCACTGCTTGAAGATCATGAATGTAGACAACATTGTAAGCTGTAATCATTTACAATGTAGGCCCTATCAACAACAGTGTACATTGCTTGAAAACTGGTTGTACTACCAGCCATTTTGAGTAGCATTTTTCCATTGGCTATTTGTGTTTTATGGTATTTCTATTTACTTTAATTTTTTTTCCAATAAAAAAATGTGTTTATAAATAGAGAAATGATCAGAGAATATTGGTATTTTCAGACAGATTTCATGTCATTTTAAGCAAAAATACTACATGGGGATATATATCTTTATCAGGATATTAACTTAGCTACAGTATTTCAGGATAGACCATTTTGTCCATTTTGCACAGCACTATGCCGAAACCTCTTTTGGATTATCATATAATGATATTTATAAATAATGATGATGATATCATTTATCATCTGTGGTATTTCATTCCCTCACCGAATGAGAATCGATAAGAAAACTCACATGGAACAGGTTTGATAAGCAGTACCGATGATGAAAAGTTCTTATTAATTGTCATCCCATTCCGGGATCTTTTAGAATGAAAATAAATTAACCCTTCATATGTCTTCTCCAATTTTTCACATATAGTTGTGATACCTGATAATGTCCAAAAACAAATATAAGTTAAGAGGAAAAAAAAAAGAATTGAAAGACTAAAGATGATACAAAAGAAGAGGGAGTGAGAGAGCAGACGACGGCCCCAAAAAGACAGCCGCATACCTAAATTACAGGTCTGGACGCTAGCTCTCAATGATGCCATAAGGCACAGGTGTCAAACTCAAGACCCATGGGCCAGATCTGGCCCGCCACATCATATTATGTGGCCCGCGAAAGCAAATCATGTGCGTCAACTTCCATGATCCTTGCTAAAATTTGTACCAGAATGTCAAATTGTCATGTGTAATAAATAACTTTTGCAATAATTTTGTTTCCTTGTTTATACTCACTTAAACAATAAGAGGACAAACAACAAAAAAATAGTTGACTGATTTCAAAACTAGTTATCCATCAATTTATTGTGTACAAGTAATAATACGACATGATGATTAAACATTTATTCGGTTTCGCTGTAGTAACGGCCCTCTCAGGCAAGCCGGAACTCCAAAGTGGACAAAAATGAGTTTGGCACCCCTGCCATAAGGTCTTCAAATAGTTTCAAACTCTGGACACTAAACTGAGAGCTACCACTGATTTTATGCTCAGGTGATTTGCATTTAGTATGGTGGTTTCAAGTTTCGGTTAGTTTTAGGTTTTATGCTTTATTGTGCATGAGTCTTGGGAGAAACCATTCTGTGGCGTAACAAGGTTCGAGTCCGCTATTCCGTGACCGGAAAGTCTTTTTAAATGATACAAAGATATGCCATTTTATCTTCTACCCACACCCCCACTTTTTTGATCTCTGCTTCCTGTTCTATTATCCTCATGTTTGTCATCGTTCCAAAATGCTCTCGCTGGTCAGTAACGTGTAGAGTACCAGTCATTGTCGGTCAACTGAACGAGCTCATTGACGACGTCGAGCAGGTTGTAGTTATGTTTCTTCAGCAGACGCTGGTTGAGTGGTCTGTCCCCAAATCCCATCTCAACAAGCACGGCCATCATGGTCTCTTGTGTGGACTCGTCTACTGGAGGCTGCACAAAAAAAGATCAAGATCAATCACAGATAAATGCTACTCACTATCGAAAGAAAAAGACCGTGCTGGAAATGAGCTCTGTCATGGAACAGAAAGCAGTCCAGCACTCAAAAATAAGACTCGTTCAAACCACCTTCCACCCACATACGGCCCATTCATTAAAACATTGCAGAAAAACCTTCTCTGTTTAAATAGCGCATCATGCTGTAATGGCCAATTAGAAGTCTAGCGTGTCTTAAATGTTAGTATTTTCTCATGTATTTACTTTAACCTCAGTAGAAATTTCAATAGTTTGGAAAATCATGCAAAAAGGGTCGTACCTGTGTCGGGCCTTGTCCTGTAAACAAAGCTTTGTAGGCAGAAGCAGCAACTGACAGCGCGCCTTTAACCAGGTCAGTGGTGACACCTGGATGCCTGATGAGAGAGAATAAAAATGGAACATCCAAAATGTGACAAAATTGACTCCACTTCAAGGAGAAGAATTGAAATTCTTTGTAACACTGAGAAAAATACTCTCATGCTTAGATTTTGAGGCTGAATGATGCAATAAATAAATAATTATCCTGCCGCAAAGTGAATTATCTATTGATATTTTTTTATGCAGTAGAAGGCAACATGCTTTTTAGACACGTATATTGTGTCTTAGACCACCTCAGTTTTCTTTTCTTACCCTGCCAGTTCTTGAACAAATTTGCTATTTTTTATTTTTTTACTATGAAAATGACAATGATTGGAATCATGCAGAAATAACACTTATTGCATGTGCACAATTATTACAATTAATTAAATTTTTTGGTCACTGATATTTTACTGCTTCAGCTGTTTGATTGTCTAGACAGTGTTGGTTAAGTGTCCATTCAGAGACAATGTGAATGATTGTCTATGTGTCCTGTGACTGACTGGCAACCAATCCAGAGTGGAGTCAGCTCCAGCTCGCCGCAATCTTGAACAAGCTAAACAATCCATCCATCCATTGATTTCCGCTTACCCCGGGTTGCGTCCAGAAGGTATCCTAATCAGATGCCCAACACCTCATCGGGCTCCTCTCAATGTGGAGGAGTAGCGGCTCGTCTCTGAGCCCCTCCCGGACGACTGAGCTTCTCATCATCTCTCTAAAGTACAGCCCAGGCACCCGGCAAAAGAAACTAGCCGGGATCACGTTCTTTCGGTCATGACCCACAGCTCATTGCCATAGGTCAGGGTAGGAAGGTAGATCGACCAGTAAATTGGGAGCTTCGCCTTTTGGCTCAGTTCCTTTTTTGTCAAGATGCACCGATACAAAGTCTGCATAACAGCAGATGATCCACCTGTCAATGTCCCAATTCCATTCTTTCCTCACCCGTGAACTTCAAACCCCAAGATATCTGGACTCCTCCACTTGGGGCAGGATCTTATCCCTGACCTGGAGAGGGCAGGTCACCCTTTTCCTGATCTCACATTTGGAGGTGCTAATTTTAATACCAAGATCTTCACACAAACCACTCCAGTGAGAGTTTGAAAATCGCAGCTTAATGAAGCCAACAGCAGCACATCATTTGCAAAAAGCAGAGATCCAATAATGAGGCCTCCAAACCAAAACCCAATCAACGCCTTGGCTATGCCTAAAAATTCTGTCCATAAAGGTTATGAATAGAATGGGTGACAAAGGAAAGCTTTGGCGCAGTTCAACTCTCACCGTTAACGAATCTGACTTACGGCTGGCAATGTGGAACAAACACTGACAGTGGTCATATGGGGACCGAATAGCCTCTATCGAGGAATTTGGTATACTTTTTTTAATGTCCTGTGCGCTGAAACGGTGAGAGCAGTGACCGATTGCGCACAGCTTAGAGGGAGCATTGGATGGCTCATCATTTTGTTTTTTATTTCATGATTGAAGGTGAGCCTCACATTTCAGGTACGCAAACTGCATGAAAATGTTCAAGACAAAGGCCCAGCATAATTAACCCACATTGAAATGGTGAAAACAACAAACACATTTTTCCTCAAATCAAGCCAGTGTGTCTTCCCACCCACTGCAAGTGAAATTGAACATAAAAGTAGATCTGTAGCCCGCACAGATCTACTTTTTTTGTTATTTCGTAAATGTGTCTGTGAGCAAGTAGCTCTGAATTTTGACACACAGTGGCGCTAATTAACATACAACCGCACTCAGACCCAGTTCTTTACCCATGCCAGATAGGCTGGGCAAAGATCCACCACTCTAGGGTCAGGACTATTGTTTTTTCCCCCCTCAAACCTCTTTAGTTCCAACTCCTGGTTGTCATGGAACCTCAGTATTGCCCATGCGTAGAGAGGACAAAATGCATGGCTCATTTTCAAGCCCCTCCCATGAACAGGATGGTTCACGATGCATTTATAAAAAAAAAAAAAAAAAAAAAAAAAAAGAAGGAGAAAATGTGCTGGAATTCCTGATTTTTGTAGGATTTTGAAGAAAGCAAACAATAGAAATACTAAGACAGATGAGAACTTTTTAAATTATTCTGTTGTGTTTGATACCATATAATGCAAGATAAAAATATTTTAGAAATAAATTCTACAAAACCCCCAATACTGGGAAAAAGTTGCATACATTTCTCACCTGGGATTCTCAGAGCAGTCTACCTCGGTGTCTGCAGTGGCTTCTGATCCTTCTGTCTGATTCTTTTCAGCAACTGGGGTGAAAGACAAGACACAAACTTTAACTTACAGTACATCTATATCATAATATGACCGTTTCAGGATTTTGAAGAAAGCAAACAATAGAAATACTAAGACAGATGAGAACTTTTTAAATTATTCTGTTGTGTTTGATACCATATAATGCAAGATAAAAATATTTTAGAAATAAATTCTACAAAACCCCCAATACTGGGAAAAAGTTGCATACATTTCTCACCTGGGATTCTCAGAGCAGTCTACCTCGGTGTCTGCAGTGGCTTCTGATCCTTCTGTCTGATTCTTTTCAGCAACTGGGGTGAAAGACAAGACACAAACTTTAACTTACAGTACATCTATATCATAATATGACCGTTTCATCTTTCAATGCTGTGAATTATTCCGCTGAAAATATTACCATCCTCCGTTTTGTACAGGTCCGAGCGCTCTGTGTCCTCCCCAGCTCGAACATTTTCTTCTGCTGATTCTCCAATACTCTCTGGACTGTGAATATGAATAACAATTCCACATTGACACGATGTGTGAGTCCCATCGTGATGTGCAGAGCTGCAAAATCTGGATATCATAAGCATCCAATCAATTCCATTTTCTCACACAGCATGAGAGATACGCTTGCACTTATCAATGTAACCGAGGGTGTTCCTGTGGAGTGTCCTGAGGTTCATTGCTTGGGCTTTTCGAAAGTTTTAAAATTGTTTACCAAAGCAAAATAATGGAATGTCAATGAAGTAATATTTTCCTCCAACTCAAAGGGAACAATACACCACCAGATACCAGCATACATACTAACCTTGATGTAAGTATGGCTGTAGGTGGTGCCACCACCTCAGGTGTCAATGGCTCATCATCTAGTGTCTGAGATGTGCAAAGCATGTCGTTAGCACTGCTGTTGCCCAATGATCCTGTCCCCAGAGTGGCTGTGATGTTATGTGCCTTGCCATCTTGCTCGGAGTTAGCACCTGGGTGCTCACAGGTAAGGATTTCAGGATCTGCGGAGGTACTGGCTGAGATGTCACCAGGTTGAGACAGTGCAGAGCTGAGGAATAGAGAATGCATACAAATGTATTTCTATGAGGTGTTCTGGACTGGAACATATGGTCACTCTTTTTGATGAAGCGGGGAACGCAGGTCAAATGTTTTCTTTGCAATAAAACATGTTCTATGTACCTTCCATTGATCTAAACATGGTACAGTCATACCTCGGTTTTCGACCATAATCCGTTCCAGAAGGCTATTCGAAAACCGATTTGTTCGAAAACCGAAACCACGGTCTTTTTAAAAAAAAATCTTTATTGAACACGTCTGTTCACCATGGAACGCTAAACGAGGTAGCGTCAATTCCTCGGGTAAGGAAGGAGAGAGGAGTCAAGTGACGCATTCAAGTGCACTCAGTTTGTTCGAGAACTGAAATTCGGTCGTCATCCGACGCATAAAAAACTCAAAAGTTTTGGTCGAAAACCGATTTGGTCGAGAACAGAGACGTTCGAAAACCGAGGTTTGACTGTATTCTGATTAATATTGTATTTGTGGAAGAAGAATTACCATACCATGCGGCAGTACCTGATATTTCATGTCCGGTCTGGAACTAGCATACAAAGCACTAAATCTATCAAATAAACATATGGTATAATTAAAATAAACTATTTAAAATACAATGCTTCACAAAGATACTGCGTCTAATAATACGATGCACTAAGTCAGGGGTGTCAAACTCATTTCACATTGTGGGCCACATACAGCCTCAGTCGATGTCAAGTGGGCCGGACCATTAAAATTATACCATACTCTGTTATAAATAACCAAAATAACATGTCTTTCCTTTGTTTTGGTCTAAAGAAGCACAAGATATTCGGAAAAAAATTGAAATTTAATGAAACATATCTTTTACAAAACATTTCAAGAAGCACCTTGGATTTCCCTGAGACAAATGTCCAAATTACTTTGATCTTTCACATGTATGCATTGCAACTGATCCCACTGATTGTACAAAGGCACAAAACAAATAATTGGTATTGAAAAATATAGTAATGCATTTTAAGATTAAATGAGATTCATAAAGAAAGGAATGTTTAAACCATTTACACATGCATATAAAATCTAAATTTAATCCATGCCTACACCTTACAAACTAAGGAGAGTGCTATTAAATGTGTAAAGAATAAAGTATTCATATGTCCTTGATAGCGTCTGCTGTATTGTAACAATGTTGTCTTATACTCTGATCAAAACAGTGTGTCCCCTAGCGAATACTCCATGAATCGCACCTGATTAAAAATATTCATTCCGTGTCTTTTATACATTTTTTTCACTTTTAAATGTGAAAGGCCTGATCGAACCTCCTTGGGGGCCGGTTCTGGCCCGCGGGCCGTATGTTTGACACCACTGCACTAAGTGGTCTAAAAATTATGGTAAGCATATAAATCCACTTGTTGTCATCCATGTCAGGGTCCTTATATACACACACACACACACACACACACACACACACACACACACACTTTTTTTTTAGCCAGCCCTGCCCCTTGCTGCCGGCTGAAATTCATGATAAAAGTTCCCTCAGGCTCGCATGGCCAACGCTGCATGAAACAAACCCAGATAACAGGTGAGCCGTGACATTCACAAAGCGAGTCCAGTGGGCACTCTGACGTCAATGTCAAGTCGACAGCAGGGGTAAATGTCAATCCCCTAAAATGGAAGAAAGAACCCATCCAATGTTTTCCATGTGAGCGATGAATTTAATAAAGGACTGTGTGGCTTTTGCGTGGTGCTAACCGGTAAAAATGGAACAAGTAGATAGCGTTTAATCCACAAAGCACATGCAGATGGTGTCACTAACTGAAATATCAAGCACAATGCGTCTCGTTTTATAGGTGCTATTTGCAGGTATTTAAAATAGGTCATACGCATATTGGAGAAATTGCCCACCTCTACGCAAACTATACTGTAGCTTCGTCAAAGTTACTGAAGCCCGAGTTAAAATGTTCGTCCAAGACTGTGGGGGTGTGCCTTCAAGTGCACAGCAAACCATCGACAGCTTGTCTGCCACGCCTTTGGTCTCTGATTGGTTGTGTTTGCCTGACCACACGGGGTCACATTAGAGACACAAGATTGGGCCAGGGAGGCCTGATTTATTTATTTATTTATTTATTTTTTTTTTTACAGATGACTTTTCTAACGTACTGCCAAGTCAGACTGCCAGTTTGAACAAAATAGACACAAAGTAACTCTTTCGACAATTGCAAATTCCTTTTTTAAATAGGCCTACAGACCTGTACATGGACTCCCCCAGTGGCCGACTGGTGTCAAAACAGTCAGGAAGGATGATGATGTATTCCTCTGACGAGGTTGAAGAAGAGCGACTCCTTGTCCCCTCTTTCTTCTTCAATCCTACTTGTACCTCTGGTTCTTTCTCACTTTCCCTTCGTTGAGACTGCCCATCCGCGCAGTCATTGTGCGGACCCTCGCCTTCACCTGTGTGAGGAAATTGAAAAAGCATGTTAAGTGACATGGGAGTAATCATGGAACATCAAAACCTTGAATAACTATAGAAATCTGTTCGTTTAGTATGTTTGGTAGGAATGAAATTACCCCAAAATGAGTCTGTCTAAATGCTAAGTTTGGTTGAAATGGCTACTTCAACCTTAGTACAACGCAACAAGAATTTAGAAAATCGGACATGGGGTTGAAATCCTGTGTTGGAAAATATGGCCCTTTTAAGGAATGTTTTTGTGTGATTTCACTTTTCCAAAATCTGGTCAAAAAAAATCTTCGAAATAGAGTAAAATGCTAAAACTAGTATTTCTCAATGTTCTCTTCAACCCTTTCGACTCAGGAAATCCCCTTCTCCGATTGGCTAACAAGTTTCAGCTAAAAAAAAATCTATCCACCAATTGTTCGGGCAGGCCAAAACTTATGAAACTTGCCCTAGAAACTGGATTTAACTAACATAAATGGAAAATTGCTGGTGGGAAGAGAATAGGTTATGTACTTTAGCAGTCAACTGTTTGGTTTTTTTTTATGTTAATGTATTTGTAATGGAGGATTTTAAATGTTTTTTTTAGAAAATTCCACAAAGATGGCAACCACTTGTCATATTGCTGTAACTCCACACACAGCTAAATATGAAATTAAATGTATAATATGAAAATGGACGTGCAAATACGTCTAAGCACGTGCGTCCCATAAAAAGCAACAATGGCGGAACGCTGTTGCTGAATTTGCTGCTCAAGGTGGGTGTGTTGACACTTCAACACGACTTACCTTAATCAACACATTGGATTACAAACTGAATTTAAAATGTCTGTGGCTATTGAAAATACACGTGTGAAGCCAAAATGGCTGCTACTTAATGCTGCACTTAAATATTACAGCATAACATTAATTTTAGTAGATCTGTGTGAATGGAGATAGTTTGGACAACTTTGTTGGTTAACCGCAAAGTTACTCTGAAATTAATCTGAATCTTTTTTTATCCATTATAAACGCAATGCAAGTTGTACTCAATCACTCACCTATGGTGGTGGACTCCTGTCGTGTGGAGGGCATCAAGGGTAGCGTTATTGGTACTGAGCTGGGGCCAGCCACCTGAGCTGGGACCATCGAAAGAGAAGCTGATATGGAGGCTTTCACAGGTGCTGGTAAGGAAGACTTCAGAATAGCTGGTAGTTTCAAGGGATTGTGGCAACCATCCAAGATTTTCTCAGGTTTCACAGCTTTACTTTTCACACAGGAGCCAATCTGAGCTGCCGGACGCACCACTGTGAGCAAGCAAAATATCACCCAGACTGATGAGCACAAGTTCAGCTCAGTTTACTTGTAGTGCAACAATTTCTTTGCATAAATAATACAGCATATAAGAAGAGATTTTTTTTTTTACACTGACAGAAACTAAAACCAACAGGATATTAACACTGTACATTCAAATAGCCAATTTCCGTCCTGATACATTCTGTCACGTTTGTTTACCTGCTCCGGAGCAGGATGCTCTCATCGGCGTGTGGTCAGGGGCCTCCTCCAAGGTCAATGAGCGAATCACAGTTTCACAGACAAACTGAGTGCCACTGATATCCTCCTCCCCCTCCTCTTGTGCTGGTACGCCACTATCCTCAGCACCAGAACCCACACCATGAGATACATCTGAGGGTACATATAGAATTACAGATTACTCACAGATAACTCTCATGACAGTTTACATTCATTCATTCATTCATTTTCCAATCCACTTATCCTCACAAGAGTCGCAGGGGGTGCTGGTGCCTATCCCAGCCATCTTCGGGCAGTAGGCGGGGGATACCCTGAACCGGTTGCCAGTCAATCGCAGGGCACAGAGACGAACAACCATCCGCACTCTCACTCACACCTAGGGACAATTTTTGAGTGTCCAATCAGCCTGCAATGCATGTTTTTGGAATGTGGGAGGAAACCGGAGGACCCGGAGAAAACCCACGCAGGCCCGGGGAGAACATGCAAACTCCACACAGGGAGGCCAGAGCTGGAACTGAACCCGGTACCTCTGCAGTGTGAGGTCGAAGCGCTAACCACTGGACCACAGGGCCGCCTGACAGTTTACAGTTATAATAATATTATTTATTTCATCCGAGATCTGGAATATGAAGTTGTCTTTGTGTGTTTAGCTTCTTGAAACTGAAAGTTAAGATGTTCTTGTAAACTTTTTTTGGGGACAGTTTTATCATCACATCTTAGAGCACAAGCCATGACCAGTTGAGAGCATCCACAGCATGGAGCTGAATTCATGTTTTGCCACATGTGTTTGAATCCAACAGTTTAAGAACAACATTTCTCAATGGACAATTCGAAGGAATTTAGGGATTTCATCGTCCAAATATGATAAAAAGATTCAAATATCATTTAAACGCGCAGAGAATCTGGAGAAATCTGAAAATTATTTCAGAAAACCATTGTCAGTTAACACAGGGGTCCCCAACCACCGGTCCGCGGACCGGGACCGGTCCGCCGGGCATTTGGTACCGGGCCGCACAGAAAGAACTTGCCTTAATTCCGTTTTATTTATTTCGGAATACGAAAGATGTTTTATTTTGAAAAACTACCGGATTCTCCGTTACATCCGTCTGTGTTACGCTTGACACACGTCAAGCCACGCTTCTCCTTCACGTGACCGATTACTTCAAAACAAAACGCGGGAGCTCGCAAAATGAGTAAAAAAACCTGCTGGAGATCGCAAATGACGGCGGCCTTAAAAGTACGTTCGAGACAACTGGATTAAAGTTATGGCTGAATACTCTGAGATGGCCACAATAGCACTGTTGCTATTTCCGACATCTTACCTGTGTGAGGCGGGGGGTTTCTGCAGCAACGGCGACAAAAACAAAATTACGAAGTAGACTGGACATAAACCACACACTTGAGGTGTCATTGTCTCCTATTACCCCGAGATGGGACCGTCTGGTTGCAGAAAATCAAGCTCGGTGCTGCGGTGAGTCGTCATTTTCATGCACTTTGAATTTGCGTTGTATCGTATTTTGAAGGCATTCAACATTGCCATAGCGATCGGAGTGTTGCGGCCAGATTAGACGCTCCTTGTGTTTATTATATTTCGAAAACGCCACAGTTTTCATGCAGCTCATACCATATTATTTTGTTGTATTATTTCCGCCACACCGTAATGCCGGTCCCTGAAAATATTGTCTGACATAAACCTGTCCGTGGGGCAAAAAAGGTTGGGGGCCCCTGAGTTAACATGTTCATCAGTACATCTACAAATGCAAGATAAAACGATCATACAAAGAGAAAGCCGTATATCAACAACACCCAGAAATGCCATCAGCTTCTTCCTTGCATCAAATAGGATGGACTGATGCAAGGAGGAAAAGTGTTTTGTGGTCCGCATTTCAAAATTTCGTCAGAAATCATCATCATCATATCCTCGGGGCTGAGGAGGAAAAGGATCATCTGGATTGTTATAAGCACAAAGTTGTAAAGGCAGCATCTTTTAAGTCTGGTGGGGTGTCAGTGCCTATGACATGGGTACCTTTAACAATTAATGCTGAAAGGTACATAACGGCATGCACAAGATGAGGCACTCTGTTACGGAGGAGTATATTGTCCGGAACATTTCGATTCTTCTTCAGGGCTAATTTTGGAGCAACATATGCAACCATCCAAGCAATGTCCTTTTCAGGGATGCTCCTGTATATTGAGGCAAGACAATGCCAAGCCACATTCTGCACATGTTACAACACTAGATTAATTCGAGTTACCCATGATGCTATTGATGATTTCATTCTCTTCTTGAATCAGTCCCAAAGAAGGGCTACTTTTGTCCTGTAGGTGGCCATCTTGAGGAAGAGGGGAGATGCAGGGAGTCATGTCTGCATGGAAGATAGAAGGAAGGAGGTTGATCATCTGATCAATCAGGTCAGGTTAAGTTTTCTGCTTAAATATCACATCGCTGTAAAGTTAACAAATCGTTAGCTTATTTGCCTAAACCGGGGGTCGGCAACCTGCAGCACAAGAGCTGAATGCAGCTCTTTAGCACGCTCCTAGTGGCTCATGGAGCTTTTTCAAAAATGTTTGAAAATGGAAAAAGATGGGGGAGGGATATTGTCAGAGATTTTCTCGGACAAAGTTAAAGAAATGACTCGGCACACAGGAAAATTGTCTTCAATATCGGCGGGAGGGGATCTCTGAGAGCGAACGACGGTAGTTGCTCCGATGATCACACTCTCGAGCTCCCTTCCCGCCAATTCCGACTTTTATTGTAACATACAAGGAAAACACTGCCCCCGACATTTGCATACCGCACCCCCGGTCCGGCCCCTCGGTGGTGATTGGTTACCTGTTTTTTAAACTTGAACCACCAGTACGTTGGCGCCTTTTCTGTCTGGTCTACATCGAATTAACATGTTGCAGACTTTGCGGACGACAAATGTCGCCTGGGCGCGACGGGTGTTCTCAACTCGTCTTTTGTTGTTCAACCGCTGTTCCCAAATTATTCATTCCCCTTTTGTGACCGAGTTTCGCCCCCTCCCCTGTGATTGCCCACCTGCATTGACGTGCTAATTGTGGACTTCAACAGCCCTCCGGCCAGGTGGCCGGCGCCTATGTGCACAGGCATTCGGAGGTGCTGGATACGCACCCAAACGTTTAGATGTGCCCAAATTAAATGAAACTTTAAACATGATACAATTTTGCTCATAGATTTCTCTAACAGATATATATATTTTTTATTTCAATATGGTTTCTATAAGAGGACAAACATGACACAAACATTAATGTTTTCCAATGCTGTAAAAATATGTCGAATAAATATTAAATTTCAACATTTCGTCAACGAGGATTTGCGTCATAGCCTGCGACACACATTTCTATTTGCAGGGCGGGATGTCAGTCAGGGGGCTGTTGTCAATAAATAAAAAAAAAAAATAAATGAAACAGCCTTTCTTGTACAATTCATCAAGTTTACTTGCAAAGAATGGGAATCTGGGCGGCCGAGAGAAGCATTTTTAAACGGCACATGTGAGCTACAATAGAACGCTGCGAAGGTGCGTCCCGTGCTTCGTTCATCTTAGCGGCCGTTATGGCTGCTGCTCATTGCGGCATACGTGTGTAAGTGTGTGCGTATGCGCGCGTGTGCGTTAACGGGCCGATCGCGGGAGGGTGGTTGATCGAAAAATAGATCTTCCGTCAAAAAAGTTTGGGCACCCTGCTCTACAGGATGAACTGGAGGGGGGAAAAACATTTAATTATTAATGTTTGTGTATTTGTAGCCAACTTAGTCATGTTGATGGCGGCGCGGGCACCCGCAGCGGCTCCTCTTGTTGTCCTGTTTTCTGGTTGAGAGGGAAGAAATTTCATCTGTGCTCTATGTTGCACATACAGCACATTTGACAATAAAGTTGGACTTGACTTGACTTGACTTGATCGTAGGCTAATATCGCAAATACAGATACATACAGCATGTGTTGAGTTCATGATAAGGCTTTTAATTTTTTGCGGCTCCAGATATATTTGGTTTTTTTGGTCCAATATGGCCCTCTCAACATTTTGGGTTGCCGACCCCTGGCCGAAACAAACAAGTAATATTGAAGATCCAACAACGCACATGAATTCCAACTCTTCTTACCAGCTGGGGTGTTATTCGGGACACTCTCCAACTCTTGAACAATGTTGATGTCCAGCAACTCAAAAGACAGAAGATCCTGAGGGATGCAAAGCAATTAGATGCAAAAGTAGAATCTTTATGTTGAAGAATGCGAACGTCATTCGGCTCTTTTCCTTTGTAATACTGTAATCTCATGTTGCTTTCTATTGTGTGAAGCAAAGATGTGCTTATAAAATCTGATCCTGACCTGTAAACAGTCATGAGAAAAAGAAAGATATACAATCAATTCTGTAACTGGCCTTCCACAGAGATAAACTCCAAATGAGGTATACAGTATAATGTCATCAAAGTTTTTACAAGTAAAAAGAAATGTTACCTATCACTAAATCAATCCTGTTTGGCATGGAATTCATCGGAGCAGCATGTGTTGTTATTAGAATCCTTTTCTATTCGCCTGATACATGTGGAGTATAGACGGCTGTATGCTCGATACTATGTGTTGTACTGTTCGCTGCTTGAGGTTGACCCACAGGTGCTCAATTGGGTTCAGGTCTGGAGGCATACATTACTTTCAACTTCCTCAGCCAGGCAGTGTTTGGGGTCATAAGTATGTTTTAATTGAATTGAATTGAATTGAATACAACTTTATTGTCAAATGTGCTGTATGTGTACAGCAGAGATTTTAAAACTGCGATGGAGGTGTTGTGAAAGCGCTATATATGACAGCCTATAGTCTAAAGTTGGAATGGATTTCCCCTTCAGAAGACAAAATAAAACGGCTGCTAAAATGTGAGGAGGGGACAGTGGATCGGGCAAATTGATAGACCATTGTTCAAATGCCAAGTTTTCCACACATCAACTTAGATTTGTGTGTAGCTGTGTGCCGGATAACTCAACCACAATGGAAGTCTTGTTAAATGGGATTCCGCACACACAACAATTGAAAGTGCCTCTTATTAACCCAGAATACAGTTCAGATGTTCTAGTATGCATTCTCTTTTTTTTCTTTTTGTAGTCTCATTTACGGCGCAAGCCATGGTCCGCAGAGAGCCAACACAGCAGCTACGATAGGATATCTTCCTGCAAAACTGGCTTTATGCGCTACAAAAGTGTCTCTCTGCATCCACAACCCGGTGTCAGGTTTCCCACTAAGGTAAACAAAGTTTTACTTTTTTTCACACTCAGAGATTTACCCATTTTGTATCTAGTTAATTTTTACTATTTTATTAACATTAGGGTCAGTTGTGGCTTTTGCTCACCATGCAGATTGGCATGCCTTTGTGCGCGTGTATGCGTGACGTGCCAGCTCGTGTTGATTGTATGCATTAGAGAGGAGCAGAGAGTGATGTGATGTCTCGTAATTGTATGACAACAACAAAAAAGTGTTGTCAAGTTAGTTATTGCAGGTTGGAAAAGGTGTGTGGGTTTGCCATTTTGACACTGAACTGGGTGATCTTGGTAAGAAGTTGGCTTCTTGAAAAGTAGTTCTTGGGTCAAAGAAGGTTGGGCACCCCTGGCCTAAATTATCTGAGACAATTTGGCATTACCCCAAAATAACTGTGGTGGGAAGAATGTCTGGACAATTCAAGGAATGGCACAACTGATATGTATCAGTTTCAGCCTTCACCCTTTCATGCACTCTGTAACCTGATAACATGATAAGTTGTCCACTGTAGTAAGCGCCGTCGCTGAAAGGGTTAAACATTATGAGACATTCTCAGGTCGTTCCACAGATAGTTTCTGACAAAGAAGCAGGTTTTGATATTTTTTTTTCTAAGAAGTAGGGAAGGTGCACATCCTTAGAAATAAAAGTTGAGTGTCATTCTTAATCACTATTGATCATTACCTGCGCAGTGAGTAGGTCCACGGAGGGGATGTAGTATTCTTCCCCGCTGTCTACTAAAAGAGGAGGCTGCTTTCGAGAGGCTGCACATGCTTTTCCATCCTTTTGCAATGGGTTTTTACCCTGCTGGGCATTGATGCAGTATTACTTTAACACTAACACTGGTATGATACGTTCACATCATGAAGGATTTATTTCACTCACATGCAAGTGATTCTTTACACTTTCGTACCTGTGGTGTGACACACGGAGAAACGAGTATCCCGTCGGCCATCATGGGGGCAGGGGCCAGATTGTCAACCACAATGCTGCACCAAACCCTGGGTCCAAATTGCTCTCCAGCATGGGCAAGACGCCAGTGGGAGGTGTAGGAACCCTCCACAGACGGCGCACATAACGCTACACTCACAATACCAACCTGAACATACAGAGAGCAAGGTGTAGTAGATCTGCACAATATATCGGGGGGAAAAAAAATTGCTTCAAGCTGGATCATGGCACATACAACATTCGTATCGCAAAGAGGTGCAATGTTCCTTAGGGAATTTTGACCTATCATCGCCGTCAAACAGTAGCTCGTGGCATTACTAATACGGTATTAAATAACTTTAAAACAATATATGTGAAGAAAATTGTAAGTATGGGTGAATTGTTTTTGCTCCATATAGAGCACTTTACACAGTGTTGGTTGTTAAAGTGCTCTTTAAAAACAATTGAGTTGAGAGTTGAGTACTTACAGAAATAAAGCAAAGTGGGGGGGGGGGACAAATTGAGTTCAAAGAAGTTAGCAGCACAGAATAAGAGAGTTCATTGCTTCAAAGGAAACCATGAATCAGGCCTTGGTGAAGAATTCTCCAGATTGAGTTCTTACTGATTACAGAATGGAAGTACTGTATATATGAAAAAAAGAACCCTGAGGTTCTCACCTGTCCAGGCTGGAGGAAAGGAACAGATACTTCTCTCCAACGATCCCCGGATCCCACTGCCAGGTTTCCCCACATGAACTTCAGCTGCAGGAAGCAAATAATATCAACTGAAACACTGCAGATACTGTTTTGTACTTCCAATTATGCAAAAATTACTCAATGGGAATGAACAGAAAATGATTGCAAATGGTTAATTGCCCCCCCCCCCCAAAAAAATCCTTTTGTACATACAAGAAATGACCTTATATCCCAGCTACTTTATGCATCTTAGATTAAATTTACATGTCATTGAGTATGGGTCTTCCTTTTTGACGATTGTCGCTGAGCACAGTAAAGGAAAATGCACGGATTCAGACATTGACCTTATCTACTAAGGTCATTAGGGTCGGATGTGATTTTCTTAAGAAAGCAGACAATAATTCCTTCAGGAAATTAAAAAATATTACAGTACCTCATAAATGACGAGCAATAATCATTTAATCTGTTTTAGTGTTCATTCATGAAACCAGACAAAGCACACTATCTGGCCACATACTATTCATCCTCAAAATAGATGACAATTTAGCAGAGCGCTTCCATTTTCAAATCATTTGACCGCAAGATGTGTTATTTTACGTCACCATTTGGTAGCGCCTGCGTGCAAACACCACAGACTTGTTAATCCAATTCACCACTGTGATTTTATTTTACATGCGCGGCACACATCAGACTGCTGTGGTTGCTCTTTTAGCACAGAGAGTATTTATCAGCCGCACACACGGTTCTCCACTCCCACAGTACGGCAGCATGGTGTTTTATTTATGTATTTATTTTTGTTCATTTGTTTTAACCTCGCATATTGGATATTCTTCATGGTCTCAGGAAACGGAAAACTCACGAAAAATTACGTGCACCCACGGCCACGGGGAAAGCTTTATTGACAGCGATGATGTCTCTCCCCGCTCACCCCGTCTCGTCCTCCCACTTCCCCTCCGTTGCACGTGGAAATAGCGTCTTATCAAATCGTGATTACGGTGTAATGCAAATGCAGTTAATTGTTCAGCGCTAATATAATCTGTTGCATGCCTTACACCACATACAGAACCAAGTCATGTACATGCAGGGATGCAGGACAGGAGCAATATCTGAAGAATGAGTATTGGGGGGGATTACCATCTCACTAACATCTACTTGTAGTTGAAATTTCATTTTGTCCACAATAAGATTTAAAACTTGCCCCTGCCCCTCAAGTCTCATCTCCCCCCATCCCGGTTTGCCATGTCAAGTCACTCGCGTAACTTTTTGGGCAACATTTTTACACCAGATGCCTTTTCTTGATACAACCCTCCCTTTAATCAAGGACTGGGACCAGCTCTCGAGGCTGGGATCAGGGCACTGGAGAATAAAATGTATCCATGATAATACACTTGTTGCACTATTACTGCCACTTCTACCCCTATAGAGATGAACGATATATAAAACAAATCCAAAAGATCATGTGCACACCCAACAGCAGGAAAATAATTCAATGGTACCTTAGTATCAGAGCTCCAACTCATTGTTCCTGTGTTTCTCATCTTCCAGTACTTGATGAACTTGGTTCCAGGACGTAGACGAGTCCCATCAGGAAGGTTCTCATCTAGAAATGTCGCTGTCATGGATGGAACCATAAGAGGGCAGGGGCGCTTTGGTCGCCTTAACACAAATGAAATAATACTTCAGAGTTTGCATGTCTTTTAGTCAGGCGAACAGGTGGTTTAATCAGTTTGCATCTATATATATATTTTTTATGTGCACTTAGATGTACATTACTCAGTCCATAAGGCTAATATGTCCACAATTTGCATAAAGTTGCAGAAAGTACCCTGTTAGTGCTTGATTAAACATATGGACATATAAATATGCTACTCCCATTCATAGCTGGATGAGTCATTGTGTTTAATTATTAATTCAAATTCATTTGTCGCAACAATTTTTGAAAAAAAAACCCCAAACTTTTTTGCTTCTTTCTTTGTTCAAAGCACTTCCCCAGTGAGGTGCACTTTTTCCACGAAAAGCATGCCTGCGTACGGAGAGGAACAATTTCGCAAAAGCAGTCAATGTTGCCATCAAGCGACTTTTCCTGACACCTCTCGGGACTATTTTTCTAAAAGTGACAAGTGAGTTTAACTCCAGTAAAGAACAATATGAGTGGAACAATTTTTTTCCAATGTTACACGAAGTCCGATGGATGACAATGACAGAATCAATCACACTGAAAAAGACATTTCTTGCAGAAGCTGTGATCTATCAACACGCTGGAAACTTATGACGCATGCTATGTACTTCCAAGTCACCTTCCATTACCTGTCCAACTCTACAGGAGAAAAGACCATCGGAGTGCTGGCAACAGACATGTGCATCACCAGAAGCATGCAGGCTGATGACGCATTTTATTCTGTTAAATTGTTGAAATTCTAAATTAAAAAGGATTGTGTGTAGATACAGTAGTCTATCTACATGCTTTGATGAAAGGAACATTTTTTTTCCATTTTATTTTCACATTATCAGTTCAGAAAAAGATAGATTTCTACAGTATTACTTCTGTAGAAGTAGACAAGCTAATGTGTCGGGAAATATTGCCTGAATAAAGCTTTTAAAGTTTGTTTGGTATGAGGAAAAATAAAACAAATCCCAGAAAGGAAAAAAAAAACAAACGAACGCAAAACTTGCTTTGAATAATGTGTCATTGTCATATGCCTTTCCGAAAATTAAATTTTTGTTCAAGACATTGTGAGATTTCATTTTGAGTCTAGATCCAATCCAGGTCGTTCGTAACATGTGATGCAAGAAATGTGACTTTTTCGACAATGCGGTGATTTGGTACACATCTACAGCAACCTACTCAGGGCTGTTGTGCTGAGTGGCTCGAGGCTGAAGAAGTACAGGAGAAGAACTTCCATCTCTCTGGGAGGAGCTCCATTGGATGCCGCGCCTCTCCATTCTTAACTGTTTCCGAATCTCTTTCACTTCAGCCTTCAAAAGGCGCTTTTCTGCTTTCAGACGCTGTTTCTCAGCCTTCCGGAAGCTTCGGTCACCTCGCCTGTAGAACCTGAACGCAGTAGAGTCATAAGTGATGGTAAGCAGATATGGACCATTCATCTAAACTTGAAATGTTACAGAAAACTCCCCGGGTCTTTCTTTTTGTACCTGCTATGGTCAGGGGCAGGCGATCCATGCTCTGGTATTGAGAGTGGAGTTCTGGCCCTCACCAAATTGTGACTAGGATCATGAGAGAAACTGCAAGGCTCACACAGAGTACAGGATGTACACACGCTGTTGGGGAAAAAAAAAAGTATCATACAAAATAGAGAGAGTGCATAGATAGAAAAAGGGAGAAAGATTAGCTAGAACTTAATAAATCATGAAGACACTTCGTCAAGCAGCAAGTAATAATCGTAAAAAGAGTACCGGTAATCATGAATAACAATGCATATGGTTTGATAGACATACTAAATATCTATGCGCACATTATTTAAAGAGTGCATTACAACATATGAGAATCACTGTGCCAAAAAAACAAGCTGTCTGAACCAGAACCTCTCACTTATATTACCTTTGGGCCATATAAACTACGAGCACAAAGGATAAACCAGTTCTCGCCATTACGTGATGCAAAACCCAAATCAGTAAAAGTAGAAACCATAATGACAGTTTCTTTGAGTTGTGTCTGTCTGTCTGGATGTCTGAATGAAGGTCGGACCTACTGGACAAAAATGAAGAATAGGTTCAGAGCTTATTTTCAGGTGGAGAATGAACTTGGTTTTATTTTTCATCACTGCAAGCCTCCACAAACAAGTGTGCTGTGATTAACAGGCTCATCCTCCTAATTTATGTCACTCACATGAGTGGTAAGGATTTGACTTTTGTGTGAAAAGACATCGGGGTAAGGGCCACTGGCTTAATTAATGTAATGTTCAATTTTTTTTAAATAAACTTTATATGCTGCAATTTAGGTTGAACAAATAATTAAATAAGTCTTGAACAGGTTTTGAAGCAAACTATGTTCATTATGACTGTGCAACTATAATTTGTCCATGACTTGAAAAGTCGTGATGTCAAAATGTCATTAAATTAAAATGTAATCTCCGTGTAAAAGCTATTTTGTATTATAGTAATCAAATTAAAGTATGGTTGTCTGAGGTATTTAGGTTGAAAATGATTCCTATGGCAGGGGTCTTCAACCACTGGGCAGTGGACCTGTGCTGGTCCAGGGGACATTTGATAGCAGAAAGTCAAAATACATTGTACTTGTCATTAAAAAGTGCAGGAAGTTTTCTTTTGAAAATGAGACGCATCCACCTGTGCCTCTATCAAAACACTCTCCTTGATCACGTGATATGGCTAAAAAAAAAAAAAAAAAAAAAAAAAAAAAAGTCTTAAATTTTCTCCAAAATGGATGGGGCGCCGAGTTCCAAAATCTGTGTATTTTGAGGTGTGACTTCGATGAGCTTTCTACTTGACTATCTGATGTTATGTAGGCACGCTGTTTATATATATAGGAAAGGCAGACGCAACTGAGACATGCAGACATTAATGTGGAAGTGTGGCCGTGAATGAGAACGCTAAAGGTATGCCCACCAGTAGGTGGATATAATGCCGGTCAGTGCATTGGGCAAAACAACTTCAGACACCGGAAAATGGCTTGTTTCATTGCGCACACTAAATCTGCCTAATGCACCTACTGTAATTTCCGGACAATAAAGCACACCTGATTATAAGCCGCACCCACGACATTTTTAAAGGAAAAACGATTTTGTACACACACAAGCCGCAGCCGTCTATAAGCCGCAGGTGCCCATATTGTAACATGAGATATTTGCAAAGAAAGACGGTACACAGAAAGAGGTTTCAACGTTTAATAACTTAGCCTTAACTTTTCTTTGCCTGTTCACGTTGCAGCACGACAGCAGTAAAACAGCACTCACACGGCTGGCTTAATTTTAAAACAAAGGCACCGTTCCATGCCGTAACACTTGGTCAACTATTCCTTTATTAGGCCTTGTACCATACACGCTTTCGTGTCAACTTTCAAGACATTATCTTTTGTGAGGTTTTCTTTTGGCATATGTAACCAGGTGAACAATACTGTGACTGTTGTAGTGAATGCTGCCTCATTTAATAAATGGAGCACTGTCACTTTAAAAGGAGCGTTGGATAATCTCATAGGGAATCTCGTGAGACTTGGACCACGAAGTGAAGGGAGACGAACGCTGATCTGTGCTTACTCAGACCTGATGGATCTGCAATCGCCATTGTAACCCAACTGATATTAAGAGTAAAATATCGTCATTTGGGAGTTTGAACGGTGTCGCACAGTGGGTCGTGTGAACAGCCGTGAAGCAGGGGAGATTAGTTGTTTTCCGCGTGTTTCAGCACATACAACATTCCGGCTCACAAGCCACTACTATTGTCTATTTTTGTATTTTTCTATTTGTTAGTCCCATTTGACATACCTCAGTCTTTTATTTTATTAATGCTGTACAATTCTGATGTTGAGTCGTGAATGAAGCCTTCATAAAAAAAAATTTGTGTTTGGTCAAGTCTGTCATAGACCCAGCCACACAGCTTTCAGATTGCAGTCCAGCTCAAAACACAGGTGAAGTCCGCCCTCCAATGGCCATTTATTTTCATTGTGACACATGATAGCGTCTCACCGTTACCTTTTCTGCTCGAGCGCTCCCTGGCGGCCGTTGTTAAAATCTTTAAATAGTCCAGATGATTCAATAAGCCACAGGGTTGAAAGCGTGTGACAAAAGTAGCAATTTATAGTCCTGAAATTACGGTAATATGTTGCGACAGTCTCCCAAATGAGGCAAAACAAAATGATGACCAGGCACCCGACATTAACAGCAAGCCTTTGGAGAAAAGTAAAGTCAGTTCAGAGCTGACAACACCCACAGTACCTGCATTGGTAGCCTCCCCCTGTGGTCTGTCCCCTGCAGGAGGAGCAGGGAAGAGTGGAAGAGGACGGAGCTCCGGGCAGGGCAGAAGAAGAAACCTCAGGCACCACGGCAGCTCCGGCAATTGCATCCCCTCTACTTCCCCCTACTCCACTCAGAGGCTTGTGGATGCAGCACTGTCCAGAAAACTCCCTGCAGATTTTCTCCACAGCCTCACGGACCACCTGATCCTTGAACTGGTGGTATAGAAGGAGATGGAAAACAAAAAGAGGTCAATTGTGGCACACGTAGCCAAACTTGTGCTTGTTACCAGTCACGCTTACTTTCTCCATGTAAGAGGTGAACCAAGCTGGGGGAGTCTTATCTTCTTCTTTTGTCCCTTTCACTTCTTTCATAATCACCTGTTAATTCATGCAAGGGAATAAACAATAATTAATGGAATTTCACTTGCCATAAGCAGAGTCGATTCAAGTCATTTTTGACCAGCAAAGGGAAACCAAAGAACCAAAAAATAAACAAATAAAAATAAAATAAAAATGAAATCAGGGACTTGTCTTGCCAAATAACAATGAAGATGGACTCAGGAAAGTGTTGTTGGCTTTTTTATAGTAACTGGACCATTGTGTGAATGATTTGATATTGTTGTTGATAAATTCCTTTGTCTTGAAAAACCCCAGTCCAAATCCATAACGCAAGATGTCTTGGACACACCCACCCCTTCCACACGCCTACTGTTTGACCCAATTACATTTCAGCATCATACTTTTCTGATGTGAATATCAGGTTTGAAAACTGTTTATGACAATCCAAATTATACAATACTCAAAATAACCAATTAGGAAAACAAAATTATACCTTTGTCCGGGATATGCAGTGATAATTTTACAGTTTACCCCCAGCGAGTCCCAGGGACTCGCTGATCAGAAAAGTATGAGTCCCATTATGCATTTGGAGAGTCCCAAATTTCTAATTCTGAAATGGTCTACTTATTCAATTGCATATGATAATAACACAAACAACAACATATACATACAATTATAAACAAATGCTGCAAAAATTTAAATAATTCAGTCGCAGGCCTGAGGATTTCAGAAATTCACGGCAACTGTTTTTCGGTTCCGTCGGATTACCGAATGGGAAACCACGGTAACTAATTTTGGGTTCCGTAAACGTACATCATGGGAACCCATTTTTCTATTTTGACTGATATTCATAATCAAGAATTCTGAAACTCAAAAGTATAATGTTTCAAGGGTAAATGTTTTAAAACTATGCATAAACAATGAACATTACATCAGCAGCTGTGTACTCCAGGTTTACTCAATAAAAAAAAAAAAAAAAAAGCATCAAAATATGTTGTACTCATATGGCATCATGAATACAGCATTCCACAAAATCAGAGTATTTTTTCCAATCTCACACTGCAAAGATTAATTTACTCGTAAGTTTTAATATGGCTTGACATCCTCTTCCCAAGACGATGCATGTGTAATCGACTATCAATTTGATGAAAGAATCTACCACACGTCATCATTAGTTCTACCAACAGTTAACATTAGCATTACTACACCTTGTGACGAATGTTTTATTCATAAAGTTACCATGCTACAACCAGTAAATTATAGAATAATCAAGACTGTTTCATAATATTTTTCATAGCAATTAGATCTAATGACCAATTTGCCTCGTAATCGTGCCTCTCGTCGTATCTCGCTCTCGTGTTCTGTGCATACATCACAGGTGAGTTTAGTGATACGCCCTTCGGATGATTCATACGAAAAATCAGACTGGCATTCCCATTTCTTAAATGTCGTAATTAGTAGACCTTTGTGAGTTTTTTTCGCCGCCATCTCAAACTTTCATCCGCGAGATTCCTCAGTTTGCGGACTAAAATAGCAACACGCATGCGCACATAACGTTATCTGTTCCGTCCCCCCCAACACTGAAAACAAAAGTAAATTAGAAGAAACACGCTCACACACCACACCACAAACACACATACAGGCACAGTGAAATCGCGTTGATCACACAGGAGAGATTTCATCGCATACAGTCAACTCGTGTGCGGTGACTTTTATGGTTAAACGATTTTTCGGTACCGTCAAAATGACGCTACGGAAACGACACACGACTGGTAACGATCGTTACCGTGAAATTCTCAGGCCTGCCGTAGTTTTTTTTTTTTTTTGACTGAGAAATTTCCTTGGGTCCCAAAAACGCACGTTATTTGGAACTGTGCGTCCCGCGGGAAACTTATGCATCCAGGACGCGGGATGCAGAGGTAACGAGATGGCTGGATATGAAAACAGTATTCATACATGAACCTTCCACAGTTGGATAAGAATATAATTTTTCTGAAGTGGGAAGGTAGTCACAGTTTCTAAACTTAAAACTGAAGACTGTCCTAAACTGTACAAAACATAAGAAATGTCTAAAATGAGTGAAAAAGCAAGTGAGCGTGTTGGAAGTGGGTGCCTACCATGCCCTGTTCTGGCACTGCCACCTGAACCTTGCGACTGACCACCTGGGCAAGAGTGGGACAGTGTTGAGGGGGTCTGAAGCCCCGCTTTGGCTCTGCGCCAGCCTTGCCAGTGGAGATCCTTGCTGGTTGACCACGGGTCTCATAAACATTCATGTGCAGTCGATTTCCCTGCCTTGCTGCACTCTGTGAAGCACAAACATAAATGTTGGTCCCTTTGGCTTTCAACTGCAACACAGGAAAAAAGGAAGAAAGTCCGACTTGCAGCGCCCCATTCTCAGCCACTCATCGCAGCGTCCCTGCGGCTGTCAATTCTCAAATATGTTCCATTTCCACCAAATGCTGGTCAAAATAAAATTTACTTTGAATATAATATCAATACGGATTTTAAAGTTATTTCAAAACGCAAATCTGCACTCTCCTTTTGCCATTCAAGTTGTTCATGATTTTGGAATCAGATATAAAAATACTGGACTTAAAAATTCTTGAAATGTGCAAGCTAAAATTATGAATGCTCAGGTTTATTTTCCAATCGCCGAAAGCCTGGATCGCACTGAGCGGCGAAGGTTTTCAAGTGTGTGCGCACGTAGCAAATGTTTTTTGTGAGGGTTCGTTCAATGTTGCAAAACATCTGCAAAGACGTTCGCCAGACATTACCAGTTGAAATGGTTCCAAACTGTTTTTCTTGTCTCCATCAAATTTTGAACATGTTAAAAAGTTCTTTGAGAAAAGAAAAACAGTTTGAGACCATTCAAATTGTTGCCGAACATCTTTGTGAACGTCAGTGACCTTGAAGGAACGCTGATGAAAAAAACAGACGCAAGCTGCGCACGCACTTGCAAAGCTTCGCCGCTCAGTGAAATACGGCCGAACAAACTACAACGGAATGTGTTCAAATTCAAGCTGTCCAGTCCAAGTCAAAAAAAAGGTGCTTTATTTCAAACAACAATAATGCAGAACAGTGACAGACACGCCAGTTTACATTTTTAATGTTAGTATAGCTTTATTTATTTTTACAAAAGTTCCACATGCCTTCCCTATCATGAAAGAACATTTTGAAGCTCCCAAGATTTCTTTCTTCTCATATCCTTGATAAAACAGCTTCTCTGCTCCCCACGGCTCATCCTCTCCCATGCAGATGCATCTATGTAAGGAAAACAAAAAAGTGACGATCATGTCCAAGCAACGAATTTTAGATTCAACAATTTAACCACAATAGCTCTGACACTTCTCTATGCTGATTTACAACAGCAGCTCTTACTAGTGAGCAATTTTGACGACTGCCTTCGATAAAGGGACATGCTTTTCCAACTACCAAAAAAACTAACAACTTCTAAACGCCCTCCCCCCCACCAAAAAAAAAAAAAAATCCAATTCTTCTCGGTCATACAGTTATGTTCTGTTGCTATGATCGTTAATATTCAATAAAATACAAAGTAGCCGCAAAAAATAGATTTAGCAGTTTCCGCTTTTGATGTTCAAGTCATCCAGCCGGCCAAGTAACACGAGTCTGCTCTTGAAGACACATACAAAAGTGTAAACAAGTTGCACAAAATTAAGTCACCTCCAGTCAGGCGGTCATTGTTTTAAGTCTCTTAAGATTAACAATAGTACAAGAGTAGTCACTTACAGTTTTCTTCCGTGTGTGTTCAAATAGGCGTCTCAATAAATGATGACATTTCTGGGCTGACAATAGTGGAGAATTGAGGTCTGCATGGACGTGGGGACGAGGGGCTGAGAATGGGGGCTGTGGCCTGACCCGTCTCGAAAAAAGCGGTCAGTGTAAAATTGAGAGTACAGTTCACATTTGCTTTGCACATTTTGAATTACTTTGTTAAAACGGTGAAACATACCTTGAGTGCCTCTTCGTACTCTACTGCAAAGGAAACAGAAAGGATAGTTTGAAATAGGACCTAATGTGCACATTTGTATGAATATGGATGTTTTTTTTCAGTAGGGGTGTCATAATTTCTTACCTTGGCTGTTAATAGAAACCTATCAGAAAGGAAGTTTTTTTTTTTGTAAATGGGTAGATTCACAGTCAATAAGTTATGATAGTTCACAAGGGTTAAACGAGGGGCAACTGAACCTTTTATTTGCTAAATATGTTTTAATTCGTGAAAATTACGACAAACAAGAAGAGGCCAGGTTGCATTTCCTTCCTGTTCAATCCTCAGTTTTTTGGGTGACATGTTTGTTTCAGAGTGACGTTGAATGATGACACAAACATATTTGTCAAGACCTGGTCCAATTCTCTCATTTTTGAGGCCAAATCAATTGTTGAAAAAAAGCAAAAAAAAAAGCACCCAAATCAGTGCAACCTGTCAGATAACATGGTTGCGGTATCCTATTTTCTGGAAACAGGTATCAGTAAATAGCTCATTCGAAGTTTCTTCATGTACATTAGTGACATGTTTTGATTAAAGGAAGAGAAAATCTCTCACCTCTTCGTTCTCCTCGTCGAAATAGGTCAGTTGAAGGCTGCACAAGCTAAAGGAACGCTTAACCTGTGACAGAGACACACGCGCACACTTCAGTCAGTACGAAGCCACATTTGACATTCTTAACAGTGCTATGAAGAGTGAATTTCCACGATATCGAAACAGCAAGATCCAAGAACCAAGGCAGAAAAACAACTGTTTACCATATCAAGACAGAGAAATGTCACAACACTAAGGAGCAGAGCAGCAAAAACAAATCACAAAAAAACACTTACACAGACCAAGTGCAGTACATTCACTACATGAGTTCTCATAAGTAGTGCCTTTACAACGATAATAATGATCCATTGTCATTTGCACTGGCATTAATTTAACGATACGGGTATGTTTACTATTTTGGTTACAGTTCACAAATGGTATAGAACTGCATTGTAACAGAATGAGCTTGGTGAATATTTTGTGTCACTCTGGAGAGTAGCCAGAGCAGATTTCTGCGAGCTATTGAGTAAATTCATATGAAGAGATTGTTTTCTATTATGCATTGACTGTTCTGAGCCCTTGTTTTCATGTCGGTGTCAGCATGATGACGCCAAGTTTGTCTGCTATAATTCCGGTCTGTATGAATGTAGGTGTTAGTTCAGGTCATGTACATTTTAGAATAAAAAGTAGATAGTAGGATTTGTTTTCACATTCTAATATTGGCCTTAACATCTTCCTCTCGTGTTTAAATACTATTTTGGGAATGCTACAACAAAAACTTCGTCGTAACGTTATCCAAAACAATGTTTGTCCTCTATTGTGCTAAAATTTTACCAGTAGTTAGTGGAGGTGAGCTGGTCAACATCGTTTCCGTGAACAACAATTTCACGAGACTGCACGTTCGCAATAATTCTCAAGACAATATCCTGCGATGTAATATGAATACGGTGGGTCGGTTGCTCCTTTTTTTTCTTTTTTGAGAAGCCAGGGTTTGTGCTTTCTCAAACAATAACTCAAACCCCCTCTGGGTCATAACAATGTCGTCCGGCAGGTTTTGCGACCATTTGCGGAGAAAACAAATGTCGGAGCTGATACCTGCTGCGTGCGGCCCGGCAATTGTCCTGTTAGCTTACCATGGCCTCCATCGAGTCCCAGCTCTTGGTCTCGGATCCCGACAGGAGGAAATTCCTGGAATTTCCCCTGAAATTTACTTTGACGTTAATGCAGAAGTCCATTGTGTCACTCTTTCCGCATTAATACATAATATATTTGAAAGCCACGAGCGTTTTCTCGGGCAAGACAAGGGCGATTGGGGTTAATCTCGCCAGTTGGATCCAGGAAGAGGATGAGGCGTATGTTGTGTTTACATCAGCACCGTGGGCACGCCCACTTTGCACCTTTTGCCCGGAACAACGAGCGCCGCTTTGGTTTCATGCCAGGAAGAATAAAAGAACATTTTTATTTGTCGTATTTTTATTTTAATAAACATTTGTAAAGAAAATGCTCCGTTTTGTTGGACACTGTCAGAAAGGTGTTTGTTTAATTATATTATTATTATTTATCAATTTTGTTTTTGCTTCAAGTTACCGTGGTGCACAACTGCACTGCAAATCACGAAAACCCTTTTCGAAATCGATGATCCAATTTGGCTAAATAAAATTCTTAGAAATTAATTGAAGTACCGAATATAGTGCAAAATAAACAACACTGCAAAGTGCAAACCCAATAGTTAACATACAATAGTGTTAAGTGAATGTGTTTCTGAATGTCTAAATTAAAACTTTGGAGTATATAATTTTTTTTTTTTTTTGGTAAAGATCGATTAAAAACAAAAAAAATCCTCAAATAATGGCAAACAGATTCAGGAGGAAAATTGCAACAATAAATTGACTGGTTGTGTTAAAACGCAATTTTCTGATTAAACATACTGAGACTCGAATGTGCTTCTGAGCTGTTAATCATAAATTGCATGGGATTACATGACGTGACATGAAAACATTACATGACATGAAATTTGGACTTGTGCAGAAGGCAGACAACACCCTGAACTGGTGTGTGCGTACACATATACACCTGAAAACGACAACCAATATTAATCAACTAGTACCAAGTTTAACAGTCCGAGATGAATACATGACAACTTGTATGTCTGCTTGGCTAACCTTCTGTGACATTCCACTGTCTGACTTAAGGTTATGCATTGTCACCTGGCTGACATTATTCCAAAAACAAGAGCACACCTTCCACTTGTACTGAAGAACACACCTTCCACTTGTACTGAACTGTAATTGAGTTGTGAACGTTAGAATTTCGACTGAAATGGAGGACATATTTACAGGGATAATATCAAGCTAAGCGGAGGAGGACCTCTGCTGTCCGACCTGTTTCAACATTTTTAAGGAACAAGTCGTCCTGTAATGTAGTGACAGTTTCTGTCAAGTGTGTGTGCAACAGCGGTGGAACGAGGAAGGAGGTCAATCGTGTCCAGTCTGTAGGCCAGAGTGTAGATCACAGGGCTGTGGGGGGGTGTGAGGGGGGGGCTTGTTTGCCACATGACATGCATACTTGAAGAATTAGATTTAGTGATAATCAAAAAAATGAAATGTAGAGCATCTGAGTTCACGTTGACATGAAGGAAAGACCAATTTAATTCACAGAATCTTTTACAAACACTGAAGTAAGGAAAAAAATACTGATTCGCCACATTTGTTTGGGAACAGGAACTTGTGTCCTTTCTTTTTACACAGCAGGTAAGAGTCCTGTGAAAATAATTCCACACACCCCGTGGTCAACATACGTGAAAAGCTGTAACCATTGTAAATAGCACAGCCACCTTATGCTGTGTTTTCGATGCTATTGCCAATTTATTATATTTATTCAACATATATATTGCTAATGCTATATTTTATATTGCACTTATATGGAAGTGTGTACAGTTCTTTTCTGAAACATTTATTTTGTGCAATGAAACACTGTTTTTTTTCACCCCCGCTCCAATTTTGCTGCTGTAGACTGCAAATTTCCCCAATGTGGGACAAATAAAGGTTATTTTATCTCATCTTATCTTATGATTTAAAGTCAGTTATAATGTTGATGTTATGATGTACAGTGGACAATAAAAAGTCTCCATCCCACCGTTGAAATGCTAACATTGATAAATCAGTGTGATTTTTTTTCTGCCATTAATGTGAACCATAACTGGTACAATTCAATTGAATGTATTTCTTTTTAATCTTTTTGAGAGGGGGGGTCAAACTGAATGAAGGTGGGTGCACAATGTGCACACCCACATTACTGGGGATGTGTTCAGAATTTTAGGTTACATTAAAAATCAGGTTAAATAAGTGTCAGAACTGAACTGCTCACATTTAAAACGTCAAATTCGAAATAAAGTTGGTTTCAGATGTCTTGTTTTGCTTTCAAACAGAAGCCTGAAACTGTTCACGCTGACTGTTATTTGGATCTGCTCATGAATGAGAAAATGTGTGTATGGGATTGATCTGTTGATTAATACATGTTTTTACTGTATATATATATTTTTTGATATAGATGTTTTCCTCAACTTTTATGCTTCTTTATTTGTAATTCAACTTTAATTAATCCCTTTGCAGTTATGTCTGTTAAAACCAAAAGAGTGCATCACAATAGTCAAGTATTGAAAAGAGGCGGCCAACTAGTTAGCAGTTCTGCCTCACCCTGGTGCAGGGTTCGATTCAGTCTGCGCCCTTCCCGTGTGAAGTTTGCATGTTCTCCTCATGCCTGCGTGGGTTTTCTCTGGGTACTCCATTTTTTTTCCCCACATTCCAAAAACATGAATGGCAGGTTAATGGAACACTCTAAATTGTCCATAGGTGTGATTTTTGAGCACGAATGGTTTTTCGGCTGTGTGAGCATTGTGATTGGCTAGGAAACAGTTCACGGTTTACCCTGCTTATTGTTTGAAGACAGCTGGGATAGGCTCCAACACACCATGATGAAAAATTTAATACAATAAAAACACATATTTTGCACACATAAACGTATTTTGTCCATATTTAAAATGGCATTTTTGTCATCTATCGGCTTAGGAAGTACAGTGTGTCCATAAAGTCTCTTTACCATTTCAAAAATGTATTAAAAATGCAATTGATTAGGTATTTTATTCAGATTTGTTCTATTGTATTCAGCGTTTATGAAAGTTTTTTACCTCTTTTAATACACTTCTACATGGCACCATTAGTTGCACGAAGCACATCAAGACGGTACTCGATTTCTTGCCATGTTCGCTGTAGCATATCATCAATTGTGGCAATTGCATCAGTAATCCTTTGCTTTAGGTCATCAGTAATCCTTTGCTTTAGGTCAGTAATGTCCCTTATCTTTGTTCGATACGCGATATCTTTAACATAGCCCCATAGAAAGGAGTCCAGGGGAGTGATATCTCAACGTGGCAGCAAAGGAATTGGCCCATCCCTTCCAATCCACCGGTCTGGAAATATTTGATTGAGGAACCCATGAACATGCAGCCCCCAATGTGGTGGTGCACCATCTTGATGAAAAATGATGGTTGGTTGAAGGCCATTCAGTTGTGGTACCACATATTTAGTTAAAAGGTCAAAGTAAACATTTGCATAAATTGATGTCTCGTTGAAGAAAAATGGACCAATTATTTGATTGCACATGATCCCACACCACACATTCACCTTTGGGCTATTACACACAAATGCAGTGTGATTAAAAAAAAAAAAAAAAAAAAAACTTTAATAAACACCGAATACAATAGAACAAATCTGAATAAAATATCTAATCAATTGCATTTAAAAATGTTTTTGAAATGATAAAGAGACTTTATGGACAGACACCCTGCATATGTTCCAATGTGGCCCATCAGTAGCAGTGATGAAAAAAATGTAAGCCCTGCCCTCATCTAAAAAAAAGTCAGCTGTTGAGACTGTCCAGATATGAGAAAGGAATATATGAAATGGACAAGCTAACCTAAATAGCCATTTGTCAAGCTTAAAATAGATGTGTGTGTGTGTGTGTGCGTGTGTGTGTGTGTGTGTGTGTGTGTGTGTGTGCGTGTAGGTGTGTAGGTGTGTATGTGTGCATGTGCATGTGTATGTTTGTGTGTATGTGTGCATGTGTGTATGTGTGTGCATGTGTGTCCGTGTGTGTGTGTGCGTGCGTGCGTGTGTGTGTGTGTGCGTGCGTGTGTGTGTGTGTGTGTGTGTGTGTGTGTGTGTGTGTGTGTGTGTGTGTGTGTGTGTGTGTGTGTGTGTGTGTGTGTGTGTGCGCGCGCGCTTCTTTTGGGCTGCACATAAATTCAGCAGATTTACTGCACTGTCAATGGTTCTTTTTAATATTTATGCAAGAGAAGGTTTTTTTTTCCCAGTCACTATATCTTACAGGCCTTGCAAAAGAAAAATTTCAAGACATGTTTCATCTGGTGGCAGCCCGGTAGTCCAGTGGTTAGCACGTCGACTTCACAGTGCAGAGGTACCGGGTTCAATTCCAGCTCTGGAATCCCTGTGTGGAGTTTGCATGTTCTCCCCGGGCCTGCGTGGGTTTTTTCCGGGTACTCCGGTTTCCTCCCACATTCCAAAAACATGCATGGCACGCTGATTGAACGCTTTAGATTGTCCCTAGGTGAGAGTGTGGGCGTAGATGGTTGTTCGTCTCTGTGTGCCCTGTGATTGGCTGGTAACCGATTCAGGGTGTCCCCCGCCTACTGCCCGAAGACAGCTGGGATAGGCTCCAGCACCCCCTGCGACCCTAGTGAGGATAAAGCGGTTCGGACAATGAATGAATGTTTCGTCTGAGCGCCCCCTACACAATTAAAATTTTATCTGTAATGTGAAAGTACAGTATTCTAAGAATTCTGTGTCATAATTATAATATGCCAAAAAGACAATAAACATAATTTGCAGTGGTGTTTCTGGTCTCTGGGACTTCTTCCCATCTTGGTCTCAAGATGTACTTGTCACATTTCCAGTGGTTTTATTTAAATTAACATCAAGTTCTTGTCATCTAAAACCCAAACTGCATATTGACAAAATCAGAAATCATTTAACATGAATTTAGTGTATGTGGCTCGGTGAGCGAGTAAACAGCTCCTCCCCACAATCCTGAGATTGAGGTTTCAAATTTGTGATCTGGTCTTCGTGTATGGGTGTAAAGGTGTCCAAACTACAGCGTGGGGGCCATTTGTGGCATGACCCAAACCAGCCCCCTCCCAAAAAAAAAATAAAATGACAACTAACACAGGCCGTACTTAAAAAAGGTGAAGGCAGGAATTGTGAGAAGGGAGTTTGTTGGAAAAATAGATGCCATCACTATTAATACATTTGTTTAAATACTGTAGAATTTTTTTCAATGTAAGAAGATACAAATAAACC